GTTTCGGCTTCTTCTTTCTCTGTCATCGTCTTCCTCACTATCAGTAATTCCTATTTCATGAGTAACAATGTCAATTTCTTYGTCGCTATCCAAATCTTCAGTACCTTCAYCAGTGTCCTCACATGAATTATCATCATCTTCAGTGTCCTCGCGCGAAATACCATCTTCTTCATGCTGCATAGACAGCCAAGCATTTATTACTTGGATTTTCTCACTTTTGTACATTTTGCGCTTAAGTAAGTTGTGCTTTTTTAAAAATAGGTCCAAGACAGCAACCCTCTGCTTCTTAAGCATTCCGCTTTCTTGTATGTCTTTCCAGTCATAGTCCTCGTATGTTTTAAGTTTCTTCGCTTCCTTTGTTTTTTTTTTTTTGTTTTTTTTGTTTTTTTCATTTGCCCTTTTAATTTTTTTCATTGGAAGGYACTACAGATGTTCTACATACTTCCTATCCAGATCCTCTGCCACTGCACATTTTCTTGAGATGATGACAATTATAATAGTAGTCTATTTTGTAATGGCCCACCCTTTTTAGTTGTCAAATTTTATCAACAGCCCACACCTTTGAAGGAGTTCAAAATTATGTGACCCACCCTCTGATTTTGCCCCCACTCCCCCCTTATACTTTATGACCAGTCCCTTATATAGATAGAAAAAAGAAGATAAAAACAGACAAGAGTATMTTATTTTTTAAAGACCTGATGATGTTGTCGAGATGACAGCGAAACGTTGTCTTTTACAACTAGTTTTCTTATTAAAGAGTTTATTTGTACAAGAGTTTTTGGTTTCATGGGCCATCCATGTAAATGACGAGAGCGAGGGAACATTCCCGCGATATGTTTGTGCGTCATGTAAGCTTTTTATCTCTCTAAGGTTGGCAATAACAAATAAATGGTCTTTCTCCCAACTAACTGAGTGACTGGGCACCTCACGATTTAAATACAGGCTGTTTGTGCCAAAATTCTATTGGCACAGCAATCTCGAACTGAAGACTCTTGAGCGATACTGACAGTTCTGAAGAGCTTTATTTGGAGCAAAGTCCTCGCACTTTACATTCCACAGCATATATATGTATGGTGCCTTAGAAACTTTGACTTGGAAAAAGCAAAGGAATCGAGGCAATAAACTGAAGGTAACAGAGACCATGTATTTCCAGGACAGAGTACATATTAAGAAGACCATTGGACGTAAGCGACCATAGGAAAAAAATGACCTCAAGTCATGGACAGAAAACAGAAATCCCATTATTAAAGGCCATTAAAGGTCTATGCGAAACTCAGTGATATAGAGAAAGAAAACAACCGATTTGATACAACATGAATAGTGAAGGCAAGCTGCAGTTGGATAGGAACATGGCTCCAGGGGTATGTAACTCATATACATGCATGTATCTGTATGAATCTGTATGAATATCTGATAACGTTATGGGACGTTTTGGATCGTTGAAATCCTTYACATTCCACACAAAACCTTAATTACGTGTATTTGGAACAAAATCCAATGGGAACAATTGGAATTACTCCCTATTATGATCTCCTATTATGACCCCGCCTCCCCCCCTCCCGCGCTTTTTTGAATAAGCAACTAAAGATCGTCAAATTATTAGATGKGACAAGGGCGGATCCAGGTTTTTTTTAAAGGGGGGGTCTCAGGGGTAAATTTTGTGGGCAAAGGAATCCCAGTCGCATTTTTACCACCACAGGGAGCCCATTTGACCTCAGGAATGACAGGGGGGTCGCGACTCCCCCGACCCTCCCCCTGGATCCGCCCTTGTGTGAGAAAAAAATAATGTGTGAATTCTTTCTGTCCGGTCGTGATGACTACCTTAATTACTATTGTAATAAGTGCAATTAACTTTCGATAGATTATGAYCAAACTGATGAATATGATCTGAGAAAGATGATGGATGACTGTACCCTACTGAAGTTCAACGAGGCATGTTACGGAAAGAGGTATGCATAAATATATAGCTATTTGAAACAACGATCCTTATAGCTAGAGGATGTAAGAAACTCTRGTTCGCTAGCTTCAAAGAGAAATTGAGCCAGGTACGGTTGTCTCAAAACTTCAGATTCCCACACAGCAATCATGTWAAACAGTAWYTGTCTTTTTGTTTAAAWAAAGTTTTTGATTGATTGATTGATCGATCGATCTTGAACATCCAATAAAGACTTTACCAGCAAATAACCCCGTAATTTGATTATGACGCTCATATGGCTTTGATCGCGTACTCGTTCCTTTTCATGTGAGATGCGTTTAGTAATTAGTGAACTTRATCTATTTCAAAGTTCATCTGCTATGAAAACAYGCTATTTACTTCAATTATTAACTAAYAAGGACCATACTTCCAGACATCGAGTGCTGAACCGTCGTATGGCAGCGCGAAGCATTTACGGCTACGCCGGAGATTTCGGCCCCGACACCGCTATCCGGAGATTTACASACTGATCAGGAAGCTCGGCCGAAGCCTAAGGGAGAGGTTAGTCGGCCCCTAGACCGTAGATGATTAACCCCTTGCTATGACCAGCAAACTCATACTTTTTGATTGTCACGCTGTATTGCTTTGAATGCATACTCACTCCTTATCCATGTGGGATGTGTTCGGAACGTGCATCATAGTAAATTTGATCTATTTCAAAGTTCGTCTGCTATGGAAACATGACTTCAGGATTTTTACTATTTTACTACAGTGCGACTCATTAAGCAAGGCCACCCAAATAAATTTTAAATCAAATTCACATTTTTGAATAACARATGAATTGATGAATTCTGGATCTTAAACTGTTTTTTGTTCACTTCGGATCGTAAACACACTCGTATAAAGTATAATATATGCTTTTAAAGAAAAAATGAATAAAAATTTGTACAGATTCTATTGTTTAAATACTYAATCGTGATTGGCTAATTTGTATGACTAATATTTTGGGTGGTCTTGGTTTGGGTAATCGCACTGTAATTAAGCTAGGACCATACTTCCAGACATTGAGGAACGGACCATAGTATGGCAGCGCGAAACATTTACKGCAAATSTAGATCTATGCCTGAGAATTTGGCTCCAGAGTTAATCCATTTCAAGAAAGCTCTATCACAGGGAATGTTCCCCGACTCTGTTCGCGTTCTATATAAATCCGGTGGCGTGGAAACTGAGAGAAACGGAGGGGTATGAGTCATCGAAGCCATTATGAGCGTTCGAGGTAGCAAACTTTTGCGTACGTCATCGGAAATCAAGCTGAAGAGATTTGTGAGATTTGTTAAAGACAATGGAATGAAGTGTATTGGGCTAAAGTAGAACTAGAAGAAGTGTGCTGTCAAGGAAGCCATGAAATGCGCGCAAAAGCTAGGGCTACAAATGCATCTAGTCTATACCCAAAACCTGTTATTACAAAGGCTGGAATAGAAGTTCAAGGGCAAAGACTCAGCAATAAGAAGTTTTTTTCTTTTATTGAGGATGCGAAATGGCAAGGTAAACTCTTTTTTTTTTAACTCTTAAAAGAGTAGGTTTKAGGATAATGACGCTAACGAKGAAGATTGTTTTGCTTGGCTCCACCTTTGGAAAAGCGCGCCTACGCACATGCACCGTAGTAGGTGTGCAAGAGTTATAGCACCAACAGCTGCTTCCAACAAAGCTCTTCTATTACAGAAAGACAGRTACCAGTGGCAGTGGGGATGAGAARYGTCGATTATGCGGCAAAGGMCCAGAAAGTGTCTCACACATCCTAGCGGGTTGTAGTGCGCTTGCGCAAACGAAGTATTTTGCGCGATATAACGCAATCTCGTACCCAGAGCCTGCGTTTCTTCTGGCATGCGSCGAGGGCTCTGACATAATCCATTTTTTTGAGACCAGATCTGGGACTTCCGGTATAAGAGCGCATACGTAAAAGACTTTCCAAAAATAAAAAAATATGTTCCCGATTTCTAATTCTTATTTTGATCGGAAGTAAATGCAGAACTCTGTTTGAAAGCATGATTTTCATTGATTATGTTTCAATTGCGGAAAACTGCACATGCGCCAAAAAAGAATTATGCCAGAGCCYKCGTTCTTTGCCTCAGGCCGAAAGAAACGCAGGCTCTGGGTACGAGATTAGATATAACGAYGTCCTCAAGATCCTGCTCTTTGAAGTTCTAAGATCTCTATAGACCTGGTGACTTGGTACTTGCAAGTTCAGCCTAAGGCGAAGGATGAGAATAAACGGGCAGTTGCTTATATTGGGATCTCCCACTATATGCTGACACTACGCATGTCAAGGCTAACAGAATTGATGCTATCATTATCAACAAKGAGAAGAACAAAATCTCAGTCATCGAGATGAGCTGTCCTTGGGTCGAAAACAGGGAAGCAAACGGACACCGTTAAGAAACGGATAAAACTTTAAAAATRATGTTTATATTGTAAACATTTCAAATTTTCAATAACAATAATCATAAAAATAAAGTTACCAATCATCCAATAAGTTAAAAACATACCATTTCAATCAAAATTTCCTATTTCTAATTMTTTGAAAATGTGTGACAGAATTGCGTGACAGAATCTAAAACCGAACCTCGATACTTTGGATTTTAATTACGTCACGTGAAAACCAAGAATACTGTCATATTAGTATGATTTGGTTTAATGTAATATAATTTAATTTAATATGACTTTAAAATGCAATCGTTTTTACTACATTTCTAAACTCTCTTGGTCCTTTCCTAGAACTTTAGAAACGTCAACCTAAACTAATACTTAAAGTTGGGGGGCAATCATTAATCAATAGTTAATCACTCTTCTTCTTTTTCTACTTCCTTTTCTTCTTCTTATGCAACTGTTTTATCGATCGAAACTATTTATGTAAGCGCAACTTCCATAGACAGCGAGGAATTTAATGATCTAAACGGCTATTGTGTTTGATTGACATAAGCCTTAACTTAATAACAACAACAAAAGATTCACTACAATATCATGTATTAAAGAATTTTCTTAAAAGAAAATTTGCATTTGGTTTTTGAAGTTGTTTGCTCACTTGTTCACAAGAGAAGCTTGTGATTATTTTCTGCGGAACAAATTTGAACGCTGAAATGTGCAAGTTAAGTTGTGATCTCAGTTTTCTTACTTTGTTACTATGGTGGAGCAATCGACTCTATAGTGGTTTTTGATTGTAGCTATTGAAAAGCAAGCCAGTAATTATACTATCGTATTAAGCTGGAATACACATTATTTCTAATAGCAATGATGAAATGATGGATACAAAGGAAAATATCGTGACAGACAACAGTGGTTTCGATCTTGGACTTCGAGTTTGTGGACCCGGAACTACACGTTTGGGATTTCACTCATCTACGCATAGAAAACTAAGAAGGCCGAGAAAGCAAGCAAATGTAAACAACAATCAAAATAAGACATCTGAACTGTTTGAATCTCTTCAAAAGGATTTATTAGATGCAATATTTTCTCGTTCGCATACTCGTAAATTTACTCAGCAACATCCAGACACTTCAACAAGGATACACCAGATAGAWACCAAGGAAAAACAGGTAATTCAAAGGTCAGAAAGAACGTTAACCTTGAAAGAGAGTTTTGTTTCAAAATCTTCGCCTATAAGTAGTTCATTCTCTGAGCATGTTAGATGTGGGGAGGATTTGTCTTACTTACGTATTACAAGTGTTGCTTTAAGAACAACTTCCGCATTTCGACAAAGACGGGAAAGSAATACTATAAATCATATTACTCCTTTAGAAATAGTGCTACGAAAACGAAGCAAGCCCGAGAAGTACACTTATAGAAATTACCGAGAARCTCTTGAATCATTTAACAAAATGAGAGACGAAGCCAAACAAAATGAGACACGACMAGCCAAGACCCAACAGGCTGAAGAATCATACAAACTAATGCAAGAAAGTACAGCAGATAGATCTAATCGCGCTTCAGGCTGTGCAATATATGTTTCAAGTGCTAGAGAAAGTAAGAAAAAAATTAGGAAAAAAAAGAGCACTACTTCAAGCATGCTTAATTGTTGTCACGTTTCTATGGCAACTCTTCCACAAATKAAAATTAGCTAAGGTTCACTACATGAGTTCAACAGAGTGATCAATAGACGACTTGCACTAAGAGGTCACGTGATCAAACCGGCCATTGTGGCTGGCATTCTACAGGATTTTAGGTATGCGAGAACGTAAAAAAAGATGGCGGACTCGGGTAGTTTTTTTTGGTGACCAAAGATAAGTTAGCGCACTAAATAACTATAAAAATCCCCTTTTCTTGCAAGAAATATACTCTTAGTACATATCTAAAGTAGATTTTTGCTATTGACTCGCCAAAAAGAGAAAAAANTGTATGTTGTAAATATAGAATGTAGTGGTAGTGCGTGTGGAGGGAACCTCACGGAAGAGCCCCGTTTTGAGAGTGGTGGTTGTAAGATATGTTTTTTTTTTTACTCTGTAAAAATATATATAATTATATTAAAATAATTATTAACAAAAAGTCGCACAATCTACTCGTACAATTCGGAATTTATAGAAACTTGTGATGTTTTAAAAGTTCTTAAATTGAACTCGCCTAAAGGCTCGTCCAATCTTACTTTCAAAACATCACTCGTACCTATAAATTCCGAATTGTACTCGATATCGTGCCATTTCCTATACGAAGAGTAGGGGATTGTCTCCCAATTAGGAGTAATAACACTATGATGTATGTAATAACCGAGTCACTTATGACTGTAATAGGCTACAAGGCTGCTAATAGCACCTTAATATACAGCCCATAAAGTCCTTAATCAATCAATTGCATCCCACATGGAAAGGAACGAGTGCACGTTCAAAGCCATATCAGCATCGCAATCAAATGTTTTGAGTTTGCTGATCATAGCAAAATTGCAAGGGTGTTTTCTGTTTTTCTGTTTGTTTGTTTGTTTGTTTATTTTTGTTGTTGTTGTCTAGTTAGAAAAATAGTAACAGAGAAAGGTGGACGACATCCAACAAATTCAAATGTCTTGTTGTACTTGAAAAGGAAAGAATGCAACGGTTCAGTACTCGATGTCTTGAAGTATACTCCAAGTTTAATTAATAAAAAAAGTAAAAATCCTAAAATTATGTTTCCATAGCAGATGAACTTTGAAGTATATCAGATCTACTAAACTATGATGCACGTTAAGTGTAGTTACTAAACGCCTCCCACATGGAAAGGAGTGAGTATGCGTTGAAACTCCACAGCGTCACAATAAAATCTTTGAGTTTGCTGGTCATAGCAAGCTTTTCATCATCTGTTGGTCTAGGTACCGACTAACCTCTCCCTAAAGCTTCGGCGGAGCTTCCTGGTCAGTCTGTAAATCTTCGGATAGCGTCGTAGCCGTAAATGCTTCGCGCTGCCATACGACGGTTCAGCACTCGATGTCTGGAAGTATGGTCCTATGTATAAATGAAGTAAATATCGCATTTTCATAGCAGATGAACTTTGAAATAGATCAAATTGACTAGTTACTAAACTCATCTCACATTGAAAAGAAACGAGTACGCGATCAAAGCCATATGAACGTCATAATCAAATTACGGGGGTTATTTGTTGGTTATAAAGTCTTTTTAATGGAAGTCAACTTCTACAACTGCAATTTTACTACTGACTCAACTCAACTAAATCAACTAACTGATATTATCTCAATGAATCTCTTTCATAGGGATTTGTACAGTAATCAAATTAAATTACAGGTTGTCACATTATCCAATATTAGCTAAGAAGTTTCTGGAAGCCTTGCCTCTTAATTAAAATAGGTAAACTATGTGTATTTAAGATGCGACTGAATGATTCAAATATCCGGTTTGAGAAAGTAATTCCAAGCTCGATCATTAGAACTTTTTATTAATAAATTGAATTATGTATAGAACTAGATCATGTTATCATTATAGGAATTTTTAGGATATTATTAATATGATGTTATTTATAGATTATTATAATAAATCAATAGAATTTTTTTAAATAAATTTGATTATTAAGAAAATTTTAAAAGATCATATTATACTACTGCGATTTTTAGTTAGGTTTCCCAGTAATGTAAATTCGAAGTCCAATAAAGTAGTTATTATTGTTACTGAAGTGGATGGTGAAGAAATCCCATGTAAGCAGATTAAAAGAACGCTTAGATCATCCCATAAAAAATCAACTTATCAAGGGAGTTGGAAATCAAAAGTGGGAGGGGAAGCCATTGCGTAAATATGACTATTACTACTAACCCAATGATCTGAAGTAAAATAAAAAGATTCCATCATGAGATTTGTTTTTATATTTGTTATGATGAAACCACATCAAGCTAGACTTCGTTTAGCCATCAGAAGGCGTGGAAGTTCACCCTTTTTACGGTAAAAACTTTCCGCATTGGAAAGCTGTCAAATATAAGCGTCCCTATTTTTCACAGAACTCTAGAAAATGACCAAATAATTAGCTGGAATTTGAAATGGTAAAATTGTGGTATTAAATATATTTAGGTACTGCCTAAAAGCGGAGATCCCGATACGCAAGTCACAGGGAGCCCAATTTGAATGAATGTGGAAGATAAAATTAAAATCGGAAAAAAATCTTCATTTTTTTTATTCAATATTAAGATAATGTCTCTCATAATAAAAAACATGCACTGAAAACGAATCAAAATGCACTACATCGTTTTTCTTTGCGCGACAATACTCTTCCAATCATTTTGTACACAACTCACCACCACCCCCAGGGGCTAGTTTTTGTCTTGGAAGATTCTTCGACAAAGTTTTCCATGGCCGACATTTTTTAAGCTTTGAATTCCTGGTTAGTTTTACTTATAAAACGAAAGATAACTACATATAATCCAATACAATATCAGGTTTAGTGAAATTTACCTCGGATGTCTTTCATTGAAATCGAAATTTTGGAGATTTCCGAACTTTTGGACAAATCAAGACTATGAAACAGACTTGAAAACTGGTAAAAA